GGTCACAAAGGGCGTGACAGACGTCAAATGACTATATATACACTACGATTATCAAGCTCATCATTTACTTCTAGCTGCTGCTTCCGATCGGAGAACGAAGACTTATCTGAAGCCTGAACACTTTTGGAAAACCAAGGTATGAAAAGTCCGGTGTATAGTTATACCCTAAACTTATTACCCCGTTTTTTAGGATACACCACGTAGAGTATTCAAGCTCGCTCGAATATACAGTTGTGGGAATCCAAGCGCATCCAAGGGGCCCGCTTTAGGTGATGTACACCGGGGTATTCAATCGAGTATTCACGGAGGTTCAAGTCCACTATTCAAGTCGAATTCGGAGGCTTACCTTTCCCGTGCTTAGGCTTTAAGGCGACCTATCCCGTGCTTTGATGTGATTGCATCGAAAAAGAAGAAGCATCGCTAAAGATGTTTGTAAAACTTGGTCCACTTAATAATTAATTTACATTGAAGAAATTCTGTGAAAACAGGGCTCAATGCTCTTTTCTTATCGCAATATCTATGGCCGTTTTAGTTACCATTTGGGCAACGAGGGTTCCCTTAAGAGCCTCAGTAATCAGGAAGGGAACTGTTAATAACTTCTGAAGAAAGTTCACCATCTTTCGTTAAAATATTGGAGCAGTTAAAAAGGAACAGATTGTGGTACGAATTTAAGTATATGCTGTATGGCACATATCTGGGATTTTGTTAAGACATGTTTTGGAAAAAAAAACAAAAAAACGGAGATAATAAAACGAGTTATAGAATTTGCTGCATACGCACGACCCAGGATTTTCTTAATAGTTATCCTTAATCAACCGTTAAGGCATCCAATTAAGATAACTCGAGGAATTAAGCGCAGCCAGCTAAGGTGGCGCAATGAAATTGAATGGAATAGTCTTGTTCAGTTCTTTTAATATTCAAATGTCCTCCGGCCAAGAAATCCTCTACATTTCTATTCTACTTCTACGTGAATTACTTAAGAACCTGATCTCTCTAACGAAACGAATTCCATACTGGCGTAAAGTTAAATGTCAATTTTAAAATTTTAAAGATCTCCGTCAGCACTTACTCTGCTGTTTCCGTTTGCTTGAAAGCCTGGGCGTACTATTGTTTAACTATTATTCCGTACCTTCGCTAGAATTGAATTAGCGTGATTTCAAATTAAGATTTTTATTCTTTCATACGAACAAGCCATATCACTCACCCGATGAAAAATAGGCCATTGCTGTTTATTTTACCGTTAC